CTAGATATTCCAGTAAAAGCACAAGGAACTAAAGAAAGAGCAGATACACTGGACTTCCTCAAAGTTAAAAACCTTTCCACTTCAAAGTACACCATCAATAAAATGTAGACTCCCCAACAAAGTTAAAAAGAAATCTGAAGATTATACACCTGATAAGGAACTTGTATATTCAAGCCACTTGTGGGGATGCACACCTGTAATCCCAGCACTTGGGAGGCTGAGGCAGGAGGATCACTGAAGTTTGAGACCAGCCTAGGCTACAAAGTGAGTTCCAGATCAGTCTCGACTACTTAGCGAGACCCTAATCTCAAACAAAAACAAAAACAAACAAACAAAAAAACCTTGTAAATTCAACAATTAAAAGACAACCCGATTTTGAAGCAAGCAAAATACTTGGGTATACATTTCTCAATATAAAGCATACATTTGGCTAACACTGACATGAAGTGTGGCTCGATATAATTAGTCACCAGCAAAACATAAACCAAAAACACAATGGGATACTACTTTATATCAACTAAACTGATTATAAAAAAGAAAAACAAGTGTAGGTGAGAATATGGGCAAACTGGAACCCTTACACATTGCTAGTGGGACTGACGGTTCCTTAAAATGATACATGTAGTTAGTTCTGACTGCAGCAGTTCCACACCTAGGTATTTACCCAAGAGAATTAAAAATGCAAAAATGCAAAAACTTATACATGGAAAGGCGAACCTAAATCTGCAATTAATATGTATATATTTTAATATAATACATTCCTACAACAGAGCATTAATAGTAAAAATGAATAAATGATATATGCTATAACATGTGCAAAACTTGAAAATGTTTTTCTAAGTCAAAGAAGCTAATCTCAAATGTGCCATATTGCATGACTGCACCTATTCGGATACCCAAAATAGTCAAATTCACAGAAACAGAAGGCAACCGATGGTCACTAGGGGTGAGGAAAGGAAGGATGGTAACTTATCACTGATGCACATGGGGTTTCTTTCTAAATGTTCTGGAATTAGTTGCTGTGATGATTGCACAATTTCATGAGTGCACTAAAACTATTTAATTGCATGCTTTAAACCAATGAATTACAAAGACTTTCAACTGTATGTCAATACAGCTGGTATTTTAAAGGTTATTACCATAATATGAAGAAAATCATACATCATCTGAATAGATATTCAAATAGCATGAGATAAAATTTTAAATCTATTTATTTTTAAGATATTAGAAACAGAAAATGCTTTTGTTAATCTGACCATAGTGCCCAAAGCAGTCCTTCAGCAGGGATCACAATTAAAAGTGACGTATTTCACTTAGGAGTATATCCTCAATATGTATCCATTTTCCTATGAATGAATCTAATTTCGCATTCTTTATAGCTGAGTAGTATTCCATTTTATAGAAAAACCACATCTTCTTTATCCAGTCTCCAACTGATGGGCAAATGGGCTGTTTCCAAGTTTTAGCTATTACAAACTGTGCCTCTATAAACATTGGTGCGCATATATCACTGTGGTATGATTCTTTTAATTCTTTTGGAAAGATACCCAGCAGAGGGATGGCTGGGTCAAATGGAACCTCTAATCCTAGTTCTTTGAGGTATCTACATATTGATTTCCATAGTGGTTGCACCAGTCTGCACTCTCACCAGCAATGGAGAAGGGTTCCTTTCTCCACACAACCCCACCATTTGTTATTGATTGATTTCTTGATAGCAGCCATTCTTTGTGGGGTGAGGTGGAATACTCCTAAGTGAAATAAATAAGTCACACATGTGTAAATACTGAATAGTTTCTCTGGTGTGAAAAACTATAATAGTACATAAGATTCTAATGAGATAATTGACCATGTGAAATAGGAAGAAAAGTTCTAAAGGTGTAGGGAAAGTGGGAAGGGTAGGGGAAAGGTAATAAGGGAAAAGAAAAAAATATGACAAAATGAAAAATGGAAATAGTATTTGTAGATGGGGAGGGGAAGGGAGGGGGAAGGGAGGGCAGGGACAAGGGGAAAAAAATGAGAACCAAGACCTGTCATGTAAAGGTACACGACCCCAATAATGAACGTAATTGTACTGTATACCTTAAATGTACCAATAAACTCAATAAAAGGAAAAAAAGAAGAAAAAAAGTGACATATTGAAAATTTTTTCTCACATGTAGAAGAAACAGAAGGCATAAGGACCAGAAAGAAGGAAACAAACTTATTTTTACTTAATGGGTCTGTATATTTAGAAAATGCATATAAATCTAGACAAACTATAAAATGTATTAAATGATTTAGCAAAGCTTTTGTATACAAAGAAAGAAAGAAAGAAAAAATTTTAAAGTATGTTACAATAACATCACAACTTCCATAGGCTAACAAAAAAATATAAGACAAGATGTGCCAGAGTTCTATGATTAATCCCATAACAGATTATTGAAAGAAATACTCAATTGAGCTAGGTATGGTGAGAAAGGCCTATCATTCCAGCACTGTGAGAAGCTGAAGAAAGAGAATCTCAAATTCAAGCCCACCCTGGACAATTTATTGACTTAGAAACAACTTGTCTCAGAATAAAAACAAAAAATGTTTTAAATACCTGGGGTTCCAGCTCAGGGCAAAGGCCTTGGATTTAATCCTCAGTATCACAAGTAATGATAACAATAACAATAATAATTTTAAAAAATAAAATAAATTACTCAATTAAATATAGTCATAGTACATTATTTTTGTGATTGGAAGGTTCCACGTTGTAAAGAAAATTTTCCCAACTTGACTTACACATTAAATGTATCTCAAATTTAAATATAATACAATGAAAATTTAGGATTTGTAGAAATTACAAGGTGATTTTAAATATATATTAAATACAAAGGGCAAAATGATCTTTAAGAACAAAGCACATACTAGTCAATGTAAAGACTTATAAAGCTATCATAACTCAATGTAGTGTGGTTTATTACTGTCAAACAGTGTCCAGAAATAGATATACACAAGCCATCACTTGATCAATAACAAGTGGGATATTACTATGCAGAAGAAAAGGACTGTCTTCTTTAAAAAGTGGGGGGGGTAATATGTCAATTGAATATATACATACAAAAAATTCCTACATTTCGCCATACACAAAAATTAATTCCAGAATTACAGTAGATGAAAAACAGAATGCTAAAACAATAACAACTCTGGAAGAACTTCAATATTTGTAGGATAACAAGGATTTCTTAACACACACAAATTGCAAAATAAAACATTGATAATGCGGACTCCTCAAAACTAAGTCATTCCATTCCATACTAGGTGCAAATAAGAGAATGGGAAGCCAACCACACAGTGGGAGATCTCTATGACACACAAACGCAATGGACACTACATGTGTTAGCTTTCTTTCACTGTAACAAATTATCTAAAAGAAAAACTTAAAGGAAGGATAGATTTATTTTTCCTCATCGTTTCCGAGGTGTCAGTCCATGATTGCTGGGCCCCATCACTTTGAGTGTGTGGCAAGGTAAAACATCACAGTAGGAGCATCTGATAGAAATATGCTCATCTTACCACAGCCGGGAGGGGGACACAAAGGTCCCAGTATTTCCTTCAAGAGCTCTCCTCTAGCCCCACTGCCTAAAGGATCCACCTCTTCTTAGTAGGGTCACAGCCTTTAGCACAGGGGCCTTTGGGGACTTTGAAGATTCACACTACATGAACGTGTATTCAGAATGCACACAAAATTACCCATTAATAGCTAAAAAGACCATCAAGAAATGGGCAAACTATCTGTATAGACAAGGATATTGTCACAGAAAAGAATATTCAAAGAGTCAGAACTTTGAAAGTATGGTCAACTTTACCAAGAAAATGCAATTTAAAACCACATAAAGAATGAGAAAACAGATTCATTAATAGGAAAATGGATACATATTGAAGATATACTCCTAAGTGAAATAAAAAAGTCACACATGTGCAAATACCAAATAGTTTCTCTGGTGTGAATAATCTGCAATAATACAGAAGATCCTAATAAGATTACTGACATTTAGAAATGGGAAGAAAGGAGCTAAAGGTGTAGGGAAGGTGGGATGGGTAGGGGAAGGGCAATAAGGGAAAAGAAAAAAATGTGAGATAATGAAAAGATGGAAATAAAGTGTTTGTAGATGGGAAGGGGAGGAGAGGGTGAAGGGAGGGCAAGGACAAGGGGAAAAAATGAGAACCAAGACTTGTCATGTAGAGGTACAAATTCCCAACAATGAATGTAACTGTACTGTATCCCTAAAATGTACCAATAAACTCAATTAAAGCTGAAAAAAAATTTAAAAAAAATAAAACCACAAAGACATATTACAATACTCTCACTAGGATTGTTGAAATGCCAAGGATAAGGAAGGATTTGAAACAAGTATAACTTCTATATATAGCTAGCTATTAAAAGGATTTGAAACAAGAATAACTGCTGTATGTAGCTGTTAGGAGTATAAATGTGGCACAACTACTTTAGAAAATACTTATGCTGAACAAATCAATAATCAGATTCAGCAAAAGACTTGTACAAAAGTGGTCATAGCATCATTATTCATAATAGCTGAAAACTAGAAACATTTTAAGTGTCTATCAAAAGCAGAATAGAGAAATACAATGTCGTATAATCATATATTAGAATACAACATAATAATGAGAATGAATGATAACGAAATGAAAACTTGATGAATTTCTCAAACATAATGGTCAGCAAATGCAAGATACAAAAAGGTTACGTACTATATGATTCTGTTTATATGAAGTTCAGAAATAAAGCTACCTAAATGGATAAAAGTCAGGACACACATTTATTTTGAGAGAATGAGGTAAGACTGGAAGGGGGCTGAGAATGTTTCTAGGGTGTCGTTGATATCCTGATTCTTGATCTAGGGTCGAGTCACCTGGTTAAAATTTACTGAACTGTGCACTAAACATTTACATAAATCCTTTGATAAATAGTATTCTCAACTAAAAACTTCAAGAGGAAATGTGACACGGACACCTACATTGCTTTCCATTTTCCTGCTGAGGTGAGAAGCAGATTCTGCTGCTGTTGCTGCTTTCAGATTGGTTTCTAAACTGGGAGCACTTTAGGAAACTGGGCCAGGAAGTGTTCACCATCTCCAGGACAGATTCACAGCCTTCTTTTGCAGCCTCACAGAAAGATCTACAGGGCTGGAGGCCATGCCTAGAAGAAAAGAGAAAGGTGAAAAATCAAAGCTTTAATAATATATTTTTCAAAATGATAATGATATTAAACTTGGCCACCAGTGGCATAATATTATTTTAACTTCCTTCAATTTCAGTCCTATGACAATGATTTCAGCTACCCTACTACCTAGAGCAGTGATGGCAAACCCTTTAGAGACAAGTCCCCAAACTGCAACCCAACTTATGTGCCACAAAGTGCCAATACTGCGATTAATGCTGAATACCAAGGTTTTAGTTTAGAAAAGGCCACTCATAGATCAACATCTTCTGTCTTCAAAGAAAAAAACAACACAACATGTATGCACGTGTTTTGCCACCACTGGCATAAAGTCTGGAGGCAATAAGTTAGTTCCATAATACATCATGTAAATGTCTCTTCTAAAAGCACTTATCTCAAATGATTGTTTTAAAATTTCCTATGCCAAAATATACTAGTCAATGAGAAAAGAGCTCTACTTGATACTAAAAGGAGAAAATTGACATGGAACTAAAGGCCCGCAAATTTCAAAGGCAGAAGTGGGTCATAAAATAGATTACTCTCAGAGAGAGAGAGAGAGAGAGAGAGAAACTTGTTCCTTAACTTCCCCATCTCCCTAGAAAGAAACATACAGACAAGTGGCAACTGGGAAGACCCTGTGCAGCTATTTATCTTTTCAGGTTTCCATCTGTCTTCTGCAAAGTAGAAAGATTAAAATAGCTGTCTGTTAATGGTAAAAGTAATAATGTCCCTGGAACTTATCTTTTGTCACCTAATAAAGAAGCAAACCCTCCCAGAATCACAGCTCCTTGGAAGGAAACTTGGGGACAGACAGAGGCAAGGCCATGGACCCAGGTGGCCTTTTCTACCTTATGGCTACAGCAGCACCTTTCACATTGCTGGGCATCTGCCAAAGGCATTTCAAATAATTTTAAGGAAACCAGGAAAGAAATAGATACATCAGTTAAATCTAAGCACACATTTCACACATGAAGGCTCTATCAGATACCACAGAATCCTACAATATTAAATATGCAAGAAACTTTGAACAACACCTCCTTCGAATCCCTTGTTAACAAGCACAGGCCCCAAGAGATTCCGGGGTGGACTGAAGGCCACACAGCTCCTAGTGGCAGAAGCTGAAGCAGAATCCAGGTGTTTACACTGTGAGGCCATCCTCTGTTTCCTCCCCCACATTGTCTATTCTCAGAAAGGGCTGATAATCGATCTTTAACAACTCCCTGGTCAAACGCGCTCATGTACAAGACCCCATCAGTAGGTCTATGGATTATAGTAGCATAATGGGATATGTGTCAGTAAAATAGAAGTAAGATGGTCAAGAAAAGAATCTTGGGAGAAGTGAGATTTCATTATAAACAAAAATGTGGAAAAGGAGTACTCAACAATTACATTCTAGTAAAAAAATGTTTTTACTATCCTTTTAGAAAAATCACACTAAAACAATATTTTAAAACCCTGATAGTCACATAATTATCTATATAAATTAACATGTCACTAAGTTTGACAGCGAGGATGTAAAAAGAGAAGTTTTGCATTTGAAAAAAATCACTTATATAGTACAAAAATATGAATCAATCTAGGCAAGTATCTTGGTATTAAAAAGAGACATTTGATTGCAATTAGGGAAACGTATTTGATATTTAGAGAACTAAGAGAGCACCACTCATATAACGCTATTTTAAAGTGTCTACTTACCTAGATCTCAATCCAGAGAAGGTGGACTATATTTTATTGAATGAAATTAGAGTGCGTAGTTAAGGAGTGTTGAGAACACAAATTAGGAAGCAACTGCTTACTCTCTGGTAGGCACTATGCTAAGTGTTTCACATGCATTAACTTATTTCTATTTCTCAACAGCCCTTTACTATTTACAGGTCCTATTACTATTATGCCTAGTACATAAATAAGAGAACTGAAGCACAGTAAAAAGAAGGTGCTTGTCCAGGTTCACCAAGGCAATGAGTGGCAGAGCCAAGATTAGGACTCAGGCAGATTGTGCCAATATCTGCCCAATGAACCGCTGCCCTAGGGTTAGTCTTACTTCACGGGTCAGTGTTTCAAGAACGACATGCACTTTCTCAGTGCATAACCATATGCATGGCGGTTGGGATCACACATCATTCTGCAAAAACAAACAAACAAAAAACTAGCAAACTCACAGTTTATTGCTTACTAATGGGGCTGGGGGAAACAAGGCTATCTCGTTTCTACAAAAAGAGTAGAATAGTCTTTACTTCTTTTGTAGGCAGCCCACAAAAAAATCATGAAACACCCCAAGTCTTTGGCATATTTCCTTTACACTTTTGTCCTGGGTAGGGATCCCAGTGTCCTAATATCATCTGGGCAACCCTGAACACTCCCCCAGGTGACCGCCTGTAACAACCTATTCTTTTTTCCTATAATCAATCAAACCTGCTCTCCCAATTGTAGCTGATCTCAATGAAGATTTCAAATAAGATTGACATCGGGACAAAAATACAGACTAATACATGATAAGTGGACATTTACCCTTTCTGGGGATTTATTTTACCTTATTAAAGGAAGACTGCTTGTTGGAGTAAAGCAGTGTCTAACTGGTGAAATTTCAGGTACGATTTAGAACTGAAAAACTTTATCTAGCATTTTTCTGAAGATTGGGAAGATGGGTATCAAGCTAACTGCCACTTCGAATGCCAGACTCTCACAAGTGTTTTGTGGACCTTTTCCTCACTTCTAAAGCTATCTATTTTTTTTTAATCATTCCACATCTTTTTTTTCAGAATCTCCCAGGGTAACAACAATGAAGTTTTAGCAGGAGGACAGCAGATTATTTTCAGGTTGTGAAATTAAATCTTTAGCTCAGAACTGATTCATCATTCACTCTTATCATGGTCATTTTCCTAAATCTACCACCCTACCACCTTCACATAGCTCCTCAGACAGCAGTATACTGATGCCAAGACTCAGTTTCCCTCTTTGAAAAGTAAGAGTGTTGGGAGAGCGGGAGTTGGCATTATTTTTTCCACGATCCTTTTACTACAAACATTCCTCACATCAAAATTCATTCTTTAATGTGATATTTCTCAGAGGAGTACTGATAATTCCACCTGCTTTGATAAATTTCAAAAAGTAACAGGCATTTTTCTCAAGATTTGTTCTGGGAATATATAGACATTAAAATACCATTAGGCCTTCTATTCTAAAAATAGAGCTTAAGAAAAATGTCTAGTGTTCCCAAATAGCTCTCTTAAGAGGTATAACTAAACTCGGACTCACAAGCTTTAAATTGCTGGACCAGGATGTGTGAAATAATGACAGAATATGTAATACTAAAAGCCCTTGCAAACACTGAGCACAATGAGGGCCATTTGTTCTTACTTTGCATGAAATCTAACTGCCTATGAAGGGTTGAAGTATCTTGCTATTCATCACAGAGAACAGTGTGGTGAGATAAGCCACGCTAGTTTGGAATGTAAGTATCTATAGCCAAGCAACAAGCAGATTGACAACTGAAAACCAGTCCTCAGCACAGGGGAGGACCCACTTCAGTTATCAGAATTGCTATTTTAGAAATAGTGATTGTTTTAAGTTGATGTATGAAGTCCATTTGGTGTTTTCCAAAAAAGTCCCTGACACATTTTAACTAAAGTAGAAAACTCTTGTATGACCTCTATAATTATTTGTTGAAATATCTGATAAATATATAAATAATGCTACTGTACAGTAGTAATAGTGTGGTTTCACAGTGTTTTCACTACCAAGGATGAATGTTCTAAAATAATTAATCTACCAAAAATATATCTATTTTGCCTATAAAACTTTTAGATAATTTATCTACCAATAATTTTGTTATTTTATACCTATTAAGCATACAGATTTTGATCACAAAAAGTTCTGAAAAGGACATACAATTATTGAATAAGCTAGAGCCACAAAGTGAATTCATAAGGTCAATGAGTTTCTATGTTTTATAAATTACATCTTTCTAACTTTTAATTTGAATTACTTATTATATACAGAGAAGTTATAAAATTAATACAGAATGTTTCTTGTATCTTTACTCCAGACTCCTCCAAAGTAATTATCTTATCATTATTATTATATATAAGCGTCATATTACTGTTATAATTATTAAAGCAGGAAAATAACATTGTCACAATACATTTAAGGTAAAGTGGTAAAGTGGCTATTCAAATATCTCCAGGATCTCCCTTCAGAGTTCCATTAATTTCAATTAGTTGTCAGGTTTTTTTTTCTTTTGATAAATAAATTATCCTTTAAGTATCTTAAGAGAGCTCAGGACTTAAAACTTTTTCCACTTAGAGAGAGAAGGGGGGCTTTGTGGTAGGCACACTCTGAGAGGGTAGCCGATGACATGCGCTTCCCAGTAACTGTGCCCTGTGTAAGTCCCTCCTTCTGAGTATGTGCTGGAGTGGGGACTTGCTTCCAACCGTAGAAGGCAAAGGTTGTCACTCCCAACATTAAGCTACATAAGATTGTGACTTCCATCTTGCTGTCTGACCTTCTCCCTTAGTGGCTTTGATAGAACAAGGTGCTATATTAAAGAGACCCACGTGGCAAGGATCAGACAGACACTTCAGGCCAACAGTCCAACAGCCCCTGAGAAACTGAAATTCTTCCAACAATCCATAGCTGAGAGCAGATCCTTCCCCAGAAAAGCCTTCAGATAAGACCGCAGTCCTGGCCAACATATTATCGGTACCATTGCGATGGAATCTGAAGCGGAAGGGCAACCTAAGCCACTCCTAGGTTCCTGTGACATGTAAATGTGTGTTGTTTTGAGCTGCTCAGGCTGTTGTAATGCATAATCCAGCAAAAGAGAATGAATGCCCTTTTCTTGGACACATCACTTTGTCAGGTATTCTGCTGAATTAGATGTGATAACACCGGAGTGTGAACGTACAAGTGACACAGAAGCATGAATTTATCGCCACCATTGGGAAAAAAACAGCCAGTGCCTTGTTCTCCCTGTCATGGGT